GTGAGTCCTGGACGAACGCCGTTCAGCTGGGAACATGCTCCCCCTTCTCGTGCCGAGGACTACATGAGATGGGTGTAGTGGGTACTCCCGATAAAGGGGACAGTGTGACAGCTGCCTTTCAAATAGGCCCCAGGCATGGGGGGGCCACAGCACCCAATTCCTCTGCCCCCCCAACTTTCTTCGCTGTTTTAACGTACAATCACAACCTGCTCCGCGGACACCTCTGAATCCTGAAAGCCCTAACACTCCAGGGGAGCAGGCCGTGCCCTGCCCTGCCCTGGCTGCCCCGGGTGTTACCTCGGAGGGAATCGTTCCAGATTCCAATGGGTGGCAGGTCCAGGGAAGAGCCTTATCTGGGGGAGGCTGGACCAGACCCACCCGACCCAGGCAGGCTCCCAGGTATTCTCTGCTCGGGGCTGATAGGGCTTCTTAGCAGTTTCTCTCCAAACAAATTCCAGTTCAAGACACCTGAAAGCTCCACAGCAGGGCAGCATCCCCAGAGCGCAGCAGGGCGGGGTTAGGGGGAGCAGTCGGTAGCAGCACCTGCCCCTCGTACGCAGGAGTGAGAAGTGCCAGCCTCTCTGCACAGAGCAGCAGCGTTCAGCCTGGGCCAGACGTGCTGCGGTGATGGGTAAGAGTGGGCTCGGAGAGCCAGAGGGTCTGTGGGGCAGCGCTGGGCCATTCTGCTCCGCACTAGGGCCGGGTGGGCGTGTTCAGCTGGGATTGGAACCCACCAGCACTTGTGGGTGTGAATGTGGGGCTGGAACGCAACGTGGGGCGCTCCCACCTTGCCCGGGGGGCAACTGGGGGGAAGGGCAGAGAGACACCTGGGCTGAGACCCCAGCTCCAGGGAGACAGTCACCCCAGCCCAGCTGGGTTAAATTGCCCAGCTGTGTGACAGCCCCCCCATCCCCGAGGGGTTCCCCCCCCCGGTATGTCACAGCAGGGTAATGCGCGTACTGAACGGCAGGGGTTGCCAGAGACTGGCTGGGAGAGGCCTTTGGGGATGGAGGAAGCAGCACTAAGGTACATGCCAACCTCCCTACAGAGGAGGGGCCGTGCCCCGCAGGTGCGGGGCAGGGAACTGGGACACTGCGCGGTGGGTCATTGTCTGGCCCAGGCCCTTCCTAGCTGGAGGCCGAGGCATTTCCTTCAGGTCACCTTCCGCTGCAGCTGGGCCACGGGCCCCCATAGCCACTAGCCCAGCCAGGGATCCCAAGTGAGGATTGTCACGGCTGGCTCCTCCCTGCTGCCAGCAGCTCTTCACTGCCAGGGAATTCCTGAAATCCTGTGTGCCCCTCCCCCACCCACCTCCTGGGGCTGTGAGTGCCTCCCCGGACAGCCCCCCCCCGAGCTCTGAGTGCCCCTGGCGAGTCCCTCCCCTCAGCCCCCCCCCACTTCCTGGGGCTCTGAGTGCCCTCAGCCTGTCCCCCTCCCACACCCCGGGGCTGAGTGACCTTGGCCAACCCCCGTCCCTTCAGGAGGAACTCCCAGTACCCACCCAGCCCCCACACCTCAGGGTTCCCCTCCCTGCGGCTCTGTGGCCATACCCCCCACCCCCCTGTCCGTGGGGCTCTCATTACCCACCCTTCAGGCCTTCCCAGGGCTCTCAGTGCCCCCCCAGCCCCAATCTCCATTTTCCCTTTCTCTCACCCACTCTCCCGCCCTTCCCTGCCTGGTTATTTCCATGGCACAGGATTGTCTCTGTGGGGCGGGAACATTTCTCCAGGGCGAGTCCCAAACTCCTCAGCACCCGCCCCCCTCCTGGGAGTCTCTGTCCCAACGGGGCCGGTTCCTAGCGTCTCCTCTCTGCCCCGTGCATGCCTGGCCGGTGGCCGGCTGCCCAGCCAGACTGATGGGCGAGGGCGGCAGTGCCAGGCTGTGCTGGGCGAGGCGGGAGGGTCCAGCAGTCCCAGCTCTCGGTTGTGCTGTTCCCAGGCAGAGGGAACTGGGAGTCGCTGCTCCTGAAGGGCGGGTTTGTGTTCCCAGCTTCTCACCGGCTCTTCCCTTTTGCAGATGCCCGGTGCCCTCGTCTCCTGCTCCTCGCCGGCCTGCTGGCCCTGTCAGCCCCAATTCTCACCCTGGAAATACACAACCTGAACATCTTAAAGGGACCCACCCATGCAATCCGGAACATCCACCCAAAGCACCTGAAGGCAGGTGTGTCATGTGTCTGCTTCTATAGCCCTCCCCTCTGGCCCTAGGGATCCCTGCCAGCCCTGGGGCCCCAGGACGTCACTCACTGGCTGCCTGGGGATTATGGAGGCCTGAAGCCACTGGGAGAAATTACAATCCAACCGTAGCTCTCTATTCAAACCACGCTGAGCTCTTTGGTGGTTTGAGGGAGGGGAGGGAGGGAGGGAGGTTCGGAGGGGCACAGGGGCTGGCCCATTGCAGTGCAGGGAGCAGCATGGGACAAAGCCAGGAGGTGCTGGTTGCCTTGGGCAGCAGAGGGGGCGCGGAGGAGTGAACTGGTGCAGCGTGGGCCCGAGCCAGGCAGGGGCAGACGGGATGAGATGGGGGTGCTCGGGCAGCAGGGCGACTGGTGCAGAATTAACACAGAGCTCGAGCTAGGCAGGGCAGGGCTGTGCAGAGCTGGAGGGGAGGCGCGGGGGCTGGAAGCTGCTGCAGGAGGAGCTGCAGAGCCAGGGAAGGGACTGGAAGGCACAAGTTGGTGTGGGCAGAGCCACGGGAGCGGGCGGTGAGTTTGGTGGCTGCATTTGGGCCAGACTGGAGAGGAGCAGACGGAAGCCAGGTAGAGCGGTGAGGGGGGTTTACAGAAGCGTGGGCAGAAGAACGGTTTGTCCTGGATGAGGGTTTCAGGGACACGGAGAAGGGGAGGCGAATGCACTGCTAACACTCTCTGGTGCTTGGGAGACAGTCTCTGAAAACCCCTCATGTCACGCGGATCTCCCAATTCCTGTCCCTACAGATCAGGGGAAAGGGAACCTGCGGCACAGCCGAGCCAGTGACCCGCAGTTACCAGAGGCCCACGGTAAGAGTATCCCACGCTTCACCTATCCGCGCCCTGCAGAAATGAGATGCAAGAACAACAAGAAGCAACAGAGAGTCCTGTGGCATGGAAATAACCAGGCAGGGAAGGG